AGTTTGCAATGACGAGGCCCTCCGGGCCTAAAATATAAAATATATTTTTTTATTTATTAAAGGTGTTTGCCTATACTTCCCTTAATAAACTTGAATTGACTTGAACTTCATGCCACTTTTCGTCAACGATTTTTTTTAATTCCCAGATATGTTTCACGTACTTTATTTTAACTGATGTGCATTATCTGCGGTTGACTGCGTTGTTAGCAGTCATGTACATATAATTGTCACCAGACCAACAAAAACGAATCTTTTATTGCCGATAATATAACATTTTCCTACTTCTCATTTGCCCCCGACGTTGGGGTACTCCCATATGTCCTCTTCCTTGACCCCAAGGTCTCTGCACTCCCTCAGGCTTCTCCCTTTACTGTTTATTTGCTGTTTGAATTTTTGCCACCCTAACCTTCCCTATATCATTGAATTGTCAGATACCCTTGTTTGTTTGCTTAGGTCGACAAGCGGTTCGTCAAAAGCAGAAGTCGAAATGGAGGGCGGGCGCTGGGTTCTGGCTGGAGTCATTGTCGTATGTTATTTGCGTTTTTTTAAAACTGGTTTGGTTTTAAGGGTGGCGTTGTTATTGCCGTTGTCGTGGGTGGAGTAATTGCGAAGTTTGTATTCAAGAAAAAAGAAAAAGTTACACTACAAGGAACGTCAATCAAAGTTGCACTGAGATTGGTGGATAAAGAGGTAAAGTCATCCACTTTTTGCATGTTTTAGAAAATCACACATGACACCAACCTTTATACTTTTGGCTTGCCGTCAAGTGATCATATTCTTGGTCTTCCTAACGGTATTTGTCTTGAAGTTTTGGTTAATGCCTAATTTAGGGTGCTATGTTCGGCTCCACACGCGTATTGATGGGGAGAATATCGCTCGGCCTTACACACCCATTAGCTTACATTCAGATCGGGGCTATGTCAAATTTTTGATAAAGGTAAGCATTCCTGTTTCGTTCTTGATGGAAGCCATTTTTGGCACGCCTTCGCCCCATGCCCCTTTGACTATTTAATAATCAATCAGGGCTTGCGTTGTTTATATATTTCTAGGTAGGTATAGTAATAAATTTGATTTTTCATGTTTTAATCGGTCCTTTTCGCCATTAGCCTCCAGAATTTTTACCGGGCCTTTAACTAGAGACCTGATAGTCCCCACTCTCCCCAGTAACAATTATCAAGCGTGATTATTTTAGCTTGTTTGTTGTACGTTTTATAGGTCTATTAGCTACTTTTCGGGATCCTGGAACGCGTTCTTATCCATTCGCTGCCTCCAGTAGTCTTGTGAAACGTTTTCCGGTGTTAGCCTCTTCACTGTCTCTACAGTGCTTCCGTAAGAACTATATAGTAAAAAAATCCTTCATTAACATCCTTTCAATAAGTCAACAGGATCTTGTGTCTATCAAACAAGTTGCCTGATCGTAATATTGTTAATCCTTTCCGGTGGATGACTAGGCTAATCAGTGTACTGTGCAAGCATTTCAAATTGCTGCGTTGTTACGGCAAGGCATTGCTGTCCACAACCTAGTAGGATTTATCTTCTGATTCTTACAACTTGGGGCCCCACCCGCTGATCGAGTAGAGCGGAGGACCTAGTTTGCATCCTATCACTTCCAGGCTGTCTGACCGATTGCAATTTCGGTAACCAATGTCGTCGTATAGTACATCTGAAACCATGTCCTAATGAAGTAAGTTTTAACTTTTGCCACGGCGCCTTTTACTTTAGTTATCAATTTCATTTCATTTTTTTCCTGTCCATCGAATCGATAATTTTACTCAAATTAATCCACCGAAGTCCTTGGATGCGGTTTATACCTAATACAAGGAAAGTTGTGTGCGAGTAAAACCCATGGTAGATGAAACGCCCTAGCATGTCTCGTCACTCAAACGAATCAGTAGTTTGGAACAAGCTCACAGCTGAAGTTGGTTTCTCAAATGTCCTGTCCAGAGTTTCGCTTTTAGCTTGTGGAACTCTGCTCCCTGAGGCCGGGTCTAAAATTAATCTAGCTGGCCATAAGGAGGGTCTCGGCGACTTTATCCTGAGTATGATTTTAAAGTCCAAGGTAAGTGCTATAACACCCGAAAGTCTGCTCTCGTTAGTACATAGTTTCATAAAAGTTTCGAAAGGAGCTCCATACGCTACGATGGTTGCAGATGTGTGGTTCTGGCTTAGCATTTTATGAGGACGTACTTTTGTATTTTTTGTGTACCTTTGACATGGCAAAAAAAACTTCAAATTTTCGCTTTTCGTCTCCGTTTCCCATGCAGACATATCGCAAGAACGTCCATCCCAACTTCCCAGCAGGTGGCAAAATGACGCAATTCCTTGAGTCCCTCACTAATGACAGTTTGGTCGAAGTTAGCGGCCCATGTGGCAACCTCGTCTACAACGGTGATGGTAAGATAAATACTAATTTTTGCACACTCGATTCGTTGATTCTGCAACGTACTTTTGCATGGTCTCGCTTTAATAGACGAACTTTTAGTGCTTTAATTTTACTTTTCGCGTCTTTCAAATATTACTGCAAAAAGTGGTAGGCGCTGAGAGGTAAATCTAATAAATGCAAGCATAAGTTCTGCAGTGACTCAAGATATCATCTTAAAATGTCCCTTCGGGAGGAAATATCCCGAGGCGGATCTAAATATGTCAGTGTTCGCACTCAGTTCATAAGATATCTCTTGCTGAAAACAGTCCAGGAGCCGACTCTGTTGGCACGGCGTCCGCATTTTCTCCCCTCCCTCCCGCTCTTCTTCACATCCTCCTTCTTTGGCTTCTCTGTATATCTCCTACACATACTCCTCTCTCATGACCTTCTTTCTATTTCTCTATGATGTGGCGCCATGGACTTCTGTTAGACGCCGTGCCTAACGGAAAAGTGGAAGAGCCTCGGCTTCTCTATCCAGATGAATGACTATATTGACCATTCTTACCTTTGTCTGTCATCTCCAATGGACTCATTAAGGCGTGTCTAGGAAATCTCCTAGCCACAACAGAATTTCGAGCCTCTGCTCCCTGATCTTTTATATCGGATAACGAAGAGTTAACATTGCTGCCGTTTTTGCCGCATTCTCTAAACATCGGTGAGCCAATTTGCCGCTGTATACCAGTACAGGTTTTACCAAACATTGCCTCTGATGCTAGCAACGGGTAGTTAACGTACTTTTATATTTTGCTGGCGCTTACCGTACAAGGCTATGTTGAAATAGTGTTCAAGATGCAGTCTGCAATCACTGTAGACCAGCTTGAAGATTTTATTTATCTCTATTATTAATCTGCCTACTAGTTGCTGATGTGTTCATGTAGTGCTTAAGTAATCATGAGTATATCTCTGATATTTGCCTCACCGCGAGTGTAGTTGGTGCATGCAATACCATTATCTCCGTCGTTAAATGTGGGGCCAGTTTTTCACTAACGGATGAAATTTTCTGCTTTGGTCGGAGAAGTCCTTAGCGTGGATCCTCAACACATTTTTATTTTTGTTTGTTTCAGGCTGTTTTGAGATCAAGGGCTCGAACCCTCGAAAGATCCATGCTAAACGCATCAGTATGATTTGTGGTGGCACGGGCCTGACTCCGATGTATCAACTTATTCAAGCCATCATTAAGTCAGACACTGATAATACGAAGATCGCCCTTCTATATGCCAACAAGGTATGTTGTGTTTATATTACCCCCTTTAAATCGATGGCTTTTCTGATGATCACAACCATAGGCGTCTTTATATCACCGGTTTAGTTAAAACTGTTCTAGTAATTTGTTACTTTCGCCATCTTGATCGTAATTCACAGCATTTTGACTTCGTCCGTCTGTTACGCCTTCAAACACATGTGAACATTTATTTCTTGTATCCTGTCTTGTTACGAATCGCCCACCCTATGATAGCTCACCGTCATTGTTTACAGCCAAGATGCTTGATTTTGATTCGGCAAATTGCCACGGTCTTCTATCCTGCCATCGTTGTCCGCAGTATAATATTAATACGTCAGAAAATCAACCCTCCTCGTGTTAAGACAGCATGCTTAACCGAGATTCCGTCAACTTGCAACCTTTGCGTCTTCTCTTTTTCTGTTTTATTAATTCTGTTGTTTTCTAAATCTAACCTCGCCAATGTCGCGCTCAATTTGTGGTTCCTCGCTTTCAGATGGTCATACGCAGGTCCTTTGTTTATGGGCGTGGATCGAATAGTGCTTATGTATGTATGTTCACCTCGTAAAGCTGTGGCCATGCTTGATCTGGACGGTCTAGATGATTTCATGGCTTGTATCTTTTCCGTCACAGCGGACCTTGAGTCTGGCCCACCCCTTTATCCAGGGCTGGAGTCCGAAATCGAAGGTCTGAGAACCGCCTGCGTGACTTGACTGATTGGATCGACCTCTTCTTCGACGCCTTCAGGTGGTCATAGGCGACAGCTCAGTGAAAAAAAACAGTGCACCTCTGGGGCGGACGAAAAATCACATATCCAAACCATCTCAATCGGTTTTCTTGGATGGTTTTAGTTATCGTTGTGATGCCACCATATGTGTGAACTGTCTAACTAAGGAAGAAGTCTGTGAACATCGTTGTAAGTATAGGTTACGGAGCGCAGGGGTCAAGTAGTTCCACTGTTTGCTCATTCACACAACCCAACAGTCAAAATCCTATCTAATCGGACGAAGACCCGGTGTGCGCGGATCTTTGTGGCGGTGGAGACATTGTGCCAGGTTCATGCACATTTTCTTAGGATTGAAAAGATCCCCGAGAGCGGCACCAATTTAAGAGACGATATCATCCATGCTTTGTAGGCTTGACAGAAATTTCACTTCGAGACACTTGCAACTGTTCACTTCGACAAGTTGGCAGCTAGTATCCCTGTTATCACAGTTTGACGACAGCAAATAGCGACCTCCATGGAGCAGGTCTCAAAAGTGGATGATACTCGCCAACTCTACCAACTAGTCCGTTAAGTTAGTAGTGAGTTCTCTTCACTGAATGACTCAGTTCGTGACGTGAATTGCTGTTTTACTGAACCGTGATTCAAGCGGCTCGCGGCCCAAGTGATTGTCAATTCTCGCCAAGGTTTCGGCCTCATCCTATTTGAAAGTGTGGGCGGTACTCGTCGAAGGAGCCGTGACTTGAGAATTGACGTCATTTCTCCTTACTGCTGCCGCTTTTTTGGCAATTCGTCTCCGGGAAGTCTTTCAATTTCGCCGACTTAGTGGCTTTGGCCGCACCTGTACCAGATCCAATAGACGACTCCAGACGTTTCTCGTCATAACGGTTGGTCTTTCGGGTTTACGACCCGATGCCTAATGGTTGCCTCTGGCCTATGTGCGACTACAAATCTAAGTGGGACGACAATTGGAATGACGGCCTCTGAGACTTTCTTGAAGTACGGAAACGCTCGCCAAAATTTGGAGTCGGCGTGATTTTGTCTTTCGCCCCGTTTGCGCACGCAACGATTGACGAAGTTACGCGGGTAGATATTTGCTTTGAATACCCGTTGAGGATATTACAGTTCGGAAACCTTGTCTTCCGGTTCACTGCAGTGCGTCTGAGCACACCGATATAACCCACTTACGCAACTGAGTTTGTGACTGATTGTGTGGTTTGCTTTTGAAGTTCAGTACTCGCGTCATATTTGTCGTTCTCCTGAATACTTTGGTCTTTAGACGAACGCAATCGTGACGACAGTCGAGGAAGTAGAGGAAGACGACCTTATTGTTTTCTTACTCCTCCATCTTAAATGTCGTTTGCGGAAAGAGAGTGTTAAATGTTTGCATTCGATAAAGATAAAGATACACAAAACCGGTCCAGTATTATTGATCTGTTGTGTTGGAAGACCAGCGACTCTAGCCGTTGTAGGACCGTTTTGACTAAGTGCCGAAATTGAAAACCCTTCCACTTGCTCGCAGATTGTTCCATCGAATGCGAAGTGCGTTTGGAGGCAGAACTTCCGGAGTTAGAAGATATGGGCTTGTCTGAGGCGATTCACTGTTTCATCGTATTTGTTTCATAGGAGTCATTCAATGGTCGCGACTGTCAGATTCTTCGGAATAGAAGTAGAAAAGAGACGTGACATCAAAAGATACCACGGCATCGTCAGAAGCGTTTCTTGGGTTCTCTTTGACATAATTGCACCCGAGTTCTCCCGTGTCAGCGGGCATGATAAAGATGTATTTGTCGTGGTGCAGCACGTTCGACCTTTTGGAGTATCTCATGCGGCCTAAGGAGGATCGACACAACAATTGCTACGAATGGTCAACCCTCCCTCGAATCCCATGCAAAAAATCCATACAAAAGTAGCTTGTGGCGGTTTCATGAGGGCCTGTCTTTACAGCGCGTGAATGACACATTTTTGCCTTATTTTAGCGGTTGTTCGTTGAAAGCAAGGCCTTCTATGAAACTAAGCCTATTTATTTTATATAACGTCTAGACGCAGGATGACATTTTATTGAAGGACGAACTGGACAAGCTTCGTGATGATAACCCTGATCAGTTCAGAGTTTGGTACACTGTAGAAAGCCCGCCGTCTCGTAAGTCTTCTTTTTGTGCCCTTTTATTATGCCAGTATACTAATGTTAATTTTTTTTCTCCTGATCTGAATGCTTTGGTACGATCAAGGACTACTTTCGGAATACATAACCTGCCTTCAAAGGCAGCCGGAGACCATACAGTATGGAAATACACACATTACGGTTGTTGAAACTGCTTGTTTGCTAATAAGCGTCCTTGTGTTTTCGTTCCTGGATAAAGATTAGCATTAATTTTTAGATTTTTTGACGATTCCATAAAAAAGTTCCCACCAACGGTTGTGAATGAGTTGGCTCAGTATTTTTCTGAAATTGAAGAAACCGCTATATTGTCCCATTGGCCTTTGGCCCAGTCTCTTCTCCCAGTAGCGAGTTATTGTTGTCGCTCTTTAATATTTATCCTGGAGCATCCAAACATATGATTCTTGTCAATAAAGTACGTGCCCTTGAATAAAACTCCTAATGCTAGTAATATTTTAGCCTGAAAAATTTGAAACAAAGGAGCTATCGGGATTGTTTAAGAAGTCGACGGTAGTGTTTTAGTGTAACCTAGTTAAGTTTTCTGAACAAGTGTCCTTGCCAATTATTGGCCGTTGCTACCTTCCTAATTTCAGAAGAGCCCCAAAGTTCAAAGGCAGTTTTAAACCATTGTTGTTCTTCCTATCTTCAGGCTGGCCCTATGGTGTCGGCTATGTGGATTCGGGCATGCTTGAGGAGCACATTTTCCCCTCAGGGCCCGATTCCTTTGCGCTCATGTGTGGTCCTCCGCCGATGTTGCAGTCTGCGTGCATACCCAGCCTGAAGGCCGTTGGCTACACCTCTGACATGTACTATGCCTTCTAAGACCCGAAGGAGAAGAGGCGGGAGTTTGCGTTTTCTCGCCGAGCCAGTTGGAGTTTTCAAAAAGCACAAGTGCACTTTC